TCTGAAGTTTTGGCACGGTCGTTTGGATGATGGCTGACTGGCGCCAGGCTTTTTGACGCTCAGAAAAAAAAATGTTTGTTGATTCATTGTCATTTCAAGGCAGAACTTTAAAAAGTTTTAAGACTGTAACTTTATTGAAAATAATCATTCAGTGATGAACATACTCAGCAACTGATTTACAACAAATATTTATACCACCATGCTACAAAACATGTCACACAACCAGGAGAGGAAGAAACTTTTTTTCATAACTAACTGAACTAAGTAAAGCTACATTACAGTTTTTAACGATTAATAGATTTAATGTAAGCGAATTAACTAAAGCTAAGTCACCCAAAGGCATGTTACGTTGAACTAGAACAATTTACCCCGTTGACTAAATAAAGGGTTCGGTTCGAAATTCCAATGTAAATCACCCGAAGAAGACTGAGCGTACAACGGCCGGAACGTTGTGAATATGACAATAAAGATGAAGACAATAGCCCGAACAATGTAAATAGTGTAAATAAATAACATAATTCCCTTAATTAAAAAAACCTTTCACGAATGAAATATACTTTACTGAAACCTTATTCGCAGAAGATTAACTAATTTAAAGTTTAATTAATCTGTATTAAAACATATTACTTTCAGTTTAAAATATCACAGAAAACCAATTTTTAATACAGAGGTGGGTGTTTTTGTGAGGTTCTGACACATTTATCGATAGCCTGCGAGATTTAGGTAAAAGTGAAATACTTGTAATAAAATTACATGACGAATACAACGTGAAAGCCCTTTTTATATAACTTTTTAAGTACCCGGTGATCTTAAAAATTAAAAATATTTTAAGCATTTTAATATTTTATTGAATTTTAGGTACATTCACTTTATAATTTTACTGACGAAGACGCTGGTTGAGGATGTGTTACAAAATTCCAAGTAAGTTTTAAATTTAATATAATTACCGCTCTTGTTTTAGGATAATGACGTGTATGGACTTCCGTAATAAAAAAATCGATACGTTTATACACACACACACACACACACACGCACACAAACACACACACACAAATCAAAATTCTTTTTAAAATACTAGGCGTCACTGGATGGTAGTAAGTTTTTCCAATTATGATTAGGAAATAAAATTTTTACTTAATAAACAATATAACCCAACCGACAAATTAATACAACATTTTAAAAGATTTAAAACTTCATAAATTATTTTTATAAAATTGAAAACAATTCTTTCAAAAATTAATTATTTATCGATTTTTTTTCTGAAAACAATAGTATACATAATATATCTTATTCATGAACGCAGTTAAAAGCTATTTTTTTTTAATTTTCTGGTAGTTGAATGAATTCATCTGAGAGAAGTGTTAGAAAGGTAAATAATGTCTCAGTTTTATAGCATTTTTTATTTTACAATTCAGAGCAGATTTTCTGTAACTGTTCGTCCTATAAGAAAAAAAAACATGATGGTTTACATTCTCCATTGGTGGCTACAATCTTAACAACATAAGATATGCAGACGACATAGAAAAGAAACTACAAGAACTCCTACAGAAGTTATGGGAAGTAAAACAAGAGGAAAGGACTAAACGTCAATTACAAGACGTAAATGATAATATAATCTCCTCTCTAAATATCCTGAATGTTGCAATGTTCTAACTATGTAAATAGTGTAAATAATTGTTTGCTGACCCAAGATGTAACAAATACATTGAGTCAATTGCTTCGTCCACCGCAAGGAAATTTTGCTCACTGTACCGCGCCAGGAAATTTTTCTCCCCGAAATCGATCCTTCAAATTTACAAATCAACCATTCGCCCTTGCATGGAGTATTTCTGCCACATATGGTCTGGAGCCCCTTCTGTTTGCCTCGGGGCTCTTGATAAGATCCAGAGACGGGTATGCAATTTAATTGGCCCTGATCTGGCATCTAGTCTACAGTCGCTCTCTCACAGACGCGCTGTCGCCTCTCTCTGTCTTTTTTTACAAATACTTTCATGGTAATTGCTCCGATGAGCTGCTTTCACTGGTTCCCAGACTTCATGAATTCAAGCGTCCTATGAGGCTGGCATCCCGCTCTCACCCTTTCACTGTTGAAACTGTTAAATGTAGCCGTCTCTTCTACTCCAATAGCTTCATGTCTCGCACCTCTCGCCTGTGGAACCCCCTTCCCTTTTCCTGTTTCCCTGAGAGCCATAATCTCCAACTATTCAAATGTAATGTCAATCGACATCTCCAGTTGCCTTGATCTATCCACTATCCTTCTCCCCATCCTTTCCTCTATCACTCCTATCTGCTCTCGCTCCAAATCCTCTGTAACCTCTTGCGTGCTAGTGGCTTCCCGCCTTGCTTAAAAAAAAATAAATAAAGTTAGAGTTTTAAAGCTTATCAAAAGTTCTACCTTTGAATGATAATGAATCAATCAACATTTTTTTCCTAGGTTCCAAAATTCTGGCACCAGAAAGTCTGATGCCAAATCACCTGACGCCAAATCACCTGACGCCAAATCACCTGACGCCAAAACAGCTGCGTCAAAAAACGCACCAAAGCGAGTTTGGAACGCATCATTCGCTATTCCAATATGAATTTCCCATCCTATGTTGAAACACATTTTAGACAAATCTAGTGTCGGCGACAAAACTGGCCGTGCGTCTTGAAATGGACCTCCAATCGGTTGTTAACTGGGGCAAGAA